TACCCCCGAGTATCCAGCGGCACTTTTGCGTGTCCAAACAGGGTCTTTACCAGCTTTGTTGAGGCGCCCATGTCTTGCACATGAGGGATGTGTGGAAGAAGTTCTGGAAAAAAACTAATGGTCGACATTTGTATCGAATGCAAAGGCAACATCATGAGAACTGTTGCCGCATTAAAGAGCATCTCACCAATCACCTCCGGAAGTAAATAGGGTTTGCCAATCTGTAAAATGTGACGTAGCGCTGCAATGAACTTCATAAGCGATGCTTCGGCGATGGAAAGAACCACAGCCTGCTCAACGCGACTATCACAATTTTCCACTTTAGTCACACCAATGTCCATAATAATTGACGCCACCTTGTTGATGCTGCGGCAAACCAATTCACAGCAATTTATAAGAAACATTCTTGCGCAGGGTTTACCGGAGTCCCGCATGGTGCAGGCACGAGCACAAATGTAGTGAAGAACAATCTCCGCGGTAGAAGCGATGCTGTAACAAGTTGGGCGCCCACTAATAAAAAGAGCGGGGTGTAATCTGCGAAAATCGTAGCAAAAAGCGGTAGAGCCAAAGTTCACCGTAAAGCCTGCGCGTTCGCGGTTATTGATACGAATGACGGGGTAGAGTGCCTCAGTCTTGTCGCTCACAGTCCCCATGAATGAAACAAAGACACCGTTCAGGGTTAAAAATATTCTTCGCGTTGTCGCCACAACACCGCAGCCAATCGTGTCACCCTCTTCAAAAGGCGGGCAAGAAATGTCATGGGTGTCACCGGAATTCTCGTAAAAATACGCCACATCGACCCCACGATCCATCCCGCCCCGGCAGTGGCCCAGGCCCAAGGCAAAAATGTGGCACGGCGATGTGAGTGTCACCTCATAATAAAATACGCGGGGAACACCACCGAACCAAGCCATGAGTCGTGGCAAAGGCCAGGCCTCATCCGCACGCAACGTCAATGGGCCGGCAACGGCCTTCTCAAAGGTGATGCCCTCCTCTGAAAGAGAAAGTTGTAAATTTGGAATGGCAATAGAAAATCCATTTGGCAGAATGCAGTTTATCGACATGTGCTCCGCAATACCAATCATTTCATTCCATTTATTCGCCCTTTTTGCTGCGCCCGTAGCATCACTTTGATGACGATGGGTACGCCATGAAGACATCAACGGCACGTTGCATGTGAACAGATTCATCTGTCCCTCCAAATGTCCAAGGATACCTGTCAGCTCATCCTCATTCCCGTTGCACTTAAAAAACTCACAATCCACGGCATCCCACGGATGGCACATAATGGCCAACAGTAATATCGTGGAAGGACCATTCTCGGCCGGTGACGTCAGCATCGCCTCTGCCGACATCTCCCTGGAACAGTTATTCATTAGGAGAGATTCACACGTCTCGAGAACAGAATGAAACGCCACACGCACTCGCATTTCCAACTCGGTACCCGAACCCACAAGACTCTCAATCATGTGCTTCCCACTCCCTTCTCCAGAAAACAGCCAGAGGGTCTTAAGTACCTCGTGAAGCATTCGCTTCTCCTCCTTCTCAAGTTTTGAGAGAAGAGAAGAAAGGAGTTGCAGTCCACGCACTATACTCAGCGCGGAAGCTGTTCGTTCCACCAAAATGTCTTCGAGTTCCTGGGGAGTGATGCCTTTAGAAAGAAGGGCTCGCACCTGGTCCAGTGTATCTTGATTCTGCATCACCCCCCTCACCGTACTTCGCCTAGCCGTTGTGAAACCCCTTGGGTCTGACGCAGACCGTGACGTGGTGGATGGACTCTCCATTGTGGAGCGTCGTCCGTTCGAAAGGCGTCGTGTATACAAGGGAGAGGAGTCCCGTTGATAATACACAAATGAAGTAATCCATTTGGCTAAACCCAACAAGGATTGACGTGCGGCATCTTTTCCACTCCCCTGTAGTTTGCTTCCCCATTCCCCGCTGAACCAACGGAGTTTTAACTCGTCCGTGGCCTGTTGTGGATTTAGTCCGCTGTGAATAAGCAAAGATAAAAGTGCCTGAATCGCAGGCCGCATTGGGGGCGTTACGCTGCCCCGCATATTTTTCCAAACATCATCCACAAATTCCTTCCCTTCACCCACATCGTTGAGAATATCAACGGCAAAACCGGACTCGTTTACCCTGCCAGGGACATCCAGCCCGTGCGTCGCGAGTGTCTTTGTGTCCAACCCATGACGCAACAATGGAGCAAGAAAAACTTCACATGGCCTCGGAGTTGTTGTTAAATGCCTCGCTGCGGACAAAAGAAGATTCAAAATACCCTCTCGCAATACAGAGCTCCAGGGGGTGCCAACACAAAGATCATAACTGCAGACGATGGTGAGGGAATTTTCTCCGTTCCCAAAAAGCAACAACGTCGATCCACACACCTTGACAAATGGTGTCTCGTTACTCAAGACAATTTTATTCGGCTTCGCAGTAGAGGGATTGGATGTAATCACCGTCACCTCCGAGTCAGACGGTTCCTTCCCAATGGACACCGTTGTTGCTCTTTTATAGTCAAGAACAAACTTAAATGGCGCGTCGTCTGTAGTGGGCACAACATCGCATGCCTGTCGGGTTTCAAAACTCACGGGAAAAAGGCTCCTCGTTGCTTCCCGAGGCAATGTATCAAGAAGATGAAGCAACGCCATCTCTACAACTTGGGTGACCGCAGCGGGACATAGCCTGGCAACACCAATAAGCATCGGTAAAAGCCCGGTATGAACCACCGTTTGCTGCATGCTGTCATCCCATGATCGCTTTGCAAGAAGCTGTTCGGCATGCTGAACATATAGTTCTAGCAGACGGGAAATCAGCATGTCCTGCCCGTTAGCATGAAGAAGTTGAACAGAAATAATTGAAAACCATAACATAAAATGAATGAGGGACCGTCCAGAAGCAAGGCCTTCTTCCTCCAGTCTACATCGTCGAAGAAGCCCATTGACAATAAGCAACACCTTCGAAGGGTTGTCATTAATCACAAAAGATATAATATTGTATAAAGATTCTTTGTACATGCAACTATCAATTACATCTGCCGTTCTTGGGTCATCCGCGTGCATAAGGATATCAACCTTATCGGACATGCTTAGCGATTGACCAGCGCCTGCCCGAACTAATGCCGCGGCCACATCACGAACAAAACCCTCAAGAAACCACTCCATAATATGCTTGCATGAGCGATTAAGAGAAGCAGCAATCTCTGAAAGAGATTCTGCATCCTCCAGTACGAGCCGCTCAAAGTGTACCATTGCCAGTGTCATGACGGCAACCAATTTTACACCGCTAGAATCTCGCTGGACACCTCGCAGTACCGCACAAAGCTGCCGCAAGTTTTCGGCCCGTAATGGGCTGATTTCAGGTGGAATTCGAAGAAGATCAACTCCGTCAATGCATATCCGCTTCAAGATCTCATTGTATAACCACTCAGGTGAGCCCCGCAACGTATCCGTGCGCAAAATACCGCTTTCTTGTAAATTGTGTTCTCGCCTCGCTGCGGTAGAAATGGAAGTCACAGAAAATGTCGAGAAGCGCTGCTGGAAGGAATACAAGAAAGACTCATCGCGGGAAAGAAAATAAAGCGACTGCGAATAGCTCGCCGGGCAACGATATACTCGGCTGATGGACTTCGATCCATGTTGAACGGCAACAACTATTCCATCCCCACCCTTGTGCACAGAGGGAATTATAATGAGTACCTGAAATTCACTGACCAGAACTTCCGACTGAAGAAGCAGCTGTTGCGGAAAGCGAACATTGTGATCAAACGACTCGGGTGGGGTACACGGACAGCAGTGAGCCTCATCCCAGACAATTGACTGCTCTGGGATGGAAAGGGCCCGCATCGTGGCCAGCTCCTTCAACCAAAACCCCTCGCCCTCATCCAGCGGCAGATAAAAAAACGGCCTCACAGAAGATTCCAAGACGCGGTCCGTAGAAAACTTCCTGATCACGCGGCCGTCCTGGCCCTCCCCACTCCACGCCACAAGCGATCCCACGTGTCCAATGCCATCAAATACCGTTGCTCGAACTACCCTGGTCGTCTTGGGTTGGGCAGTTCGTGCTCCATGCAGCTCAACCAGGGTGTTGTCGATACCCAGCATCCACACGCCCTTGTTCCACTTGCAAAAGATAAAATGCCAAGGGGCACTGTTGGGGCAAGCACCAGAGCAGCTGTGCGTGCCTTGCGTCAGCGTGACGATTCCTCCCTTCACGTGAATTGTAAAGTTGTCATCATCCGCTTCTAAGACAACCAAATTCCCCACAAAATCGCCGTTGATATGAGAGCATATGACGAAGTTATCAACAGCCCTATCGGCAGAGGGACCAAGTTTATCCAGCACCGTCTTCCCACATGCCGTAAAGTAGAGTGAACTCTTTCGTCCGCTCGTCAAGCGCGGAGAAAAAAGAAATTCAATCGACTCGGATGTCACCGACGTTGGAATGGCTGGATACTCCGTGTTATGTTCACAAAGGTACAACAATTCGGTGTTGAGCACCACATGGCGCAGTCCGGATACCATCGTTAAAATGAGTTTTTTGGAGTCGGGGGAAAACTGCATCATCCGCAGGGATCGAGGAAGAAACGCGTCCAGAGACTCTGCCAATAACTCGCCCGTGGTGGTGTCAAAAATAAGTATGCCGGAAACAGTTGCTGTAGCCAACATTGAACCGCAAGGCGAGACACAAAAACAAACAACGCTGGTTCCCTCCGATAGCATAAGAGGCAGTTTGGTCGTTTCACCGTGGTGGGCGTCAACAGGAGACGACATCACGTGCTGCATCGGCGAGGTCAGAACAAAGCTTCGCAACACCTCCTCGTAGTGGGGCAGCACAATGGGAACTATGATGGAGCGAGAATGGGAGCAGTAATCCTCGAGAATGCCGACGTACTCGAGCACCTCCTGAATCTCACCTCGAGGAAGAACAACAAGTCCCAGTAAACTACACACCTCGCCTTTTCGCTCCTGCGAACATTTATCCCCCACAAGTAACTGTCTGCAGGTTTCAAGTGCAATCTTCACAGTAGATGGACTTAAGGCGCGTGTCGCAGCCGAAGCCTTTTCACCTTCTTCAGGACGATGCCAATGTTGTCTAGGTGACGAATATTTGACAACCACATCGATATTGTTAAAGCCACCATTTCCACTGCTGGTGTGAAGGATTGAAACCCCGACGCAAAAATTGTTCCTGGCATGTCATCGTGCAAACTCAACTGCAGTGGCATATCGCCGTTTAATGATCCATCCTTGTTTTCAACACTAGATTGATTTGTCATGGTGGCAACGTTTTCCAAAAGCCCACCAACAAGAATTTCGTACAATTGAAACGGAGAGGGATCCCCCAGCTCTTTGCAATATACCGCCGAAAGACCTTTTATGTACTGCATGACGGCCTCAGGATCGGTTGGAACCTCGCCATCAAAGTCCGGTGGACTGGGCAAGAGAGGAAACTCAATCTCTGGTCGACATTGCCTCTTTTGCATGTACGGGACGTAGGCAGTGCTGTATAGTTGAGAAAGTGTCAGTTTATCGATCCTCAAATGCTCATCCGTGTTGGACAATTCGTTGGGGTCCTGAATGTACAAGGAGCCCTTAAGCAGGGACGCTGGCTCAACGTACTTCGCCTCATACGTCGTCGACCCGAGAAGCAAAGCATCGTTGTCATTTACATACGCTTCGCCGGATAATAAATTCACATTCGTCCCCGGCGCGGAGGATTGAAGGGTGCGTCCAGATGGATACCGGTCACACGCCCGCAACGTTGCCATCAATGCACAGCGGCCCCAAGAAAGAAATGTCCAGGAAACTAACTGATGGTCAAGGCAAAAACTTCGTCGTTTACTATTTCGTTTTCTGTTTGTGTTTGTGTTATTTGCCTTTCTCCCTCAATTCCTTTTTCGGTGTATTTGTATTTGTATTTGTATGTGTGTGTGTTTTTTTTCGGCCAAAAATGCGGCAGATATATTGTCACACGCTTTAGGTACCAAGAAGGAAAAAAAAAAAAAAGGAAACATTAAGAGCATGCAAAAAACCTTCGCCGGCAAGAAGATCCCCAGCCGAAGTTGGCTGGAAAAAGGTGACAAAAGCCCAGCCACAAAGGGTCGCGTGTGTGTTCCCTCGCACGTCACCAGAAAAAAAAAAAACAACAACAACTGAGAAGTAAAAATAAACATAAAATGGTCCCTCACACACGCCGTGCATCAAAATTCCAGCTGCCACATCCTTAGGTTCCAATGACAGCCATCATACAAGCAAAACATGCACGGCGGGTGACGCCTCCTACACTACAAGCAGTCCACTACTCTGGTTTAGTCGCTCTTCGCCGCGTCCCCGTCGCCGCGACGGTTCGGCGGCCGTCAGCTCCCAGTAGAACATTCCTCCTTTGGCTTTTCTGCGCGCGGTGAGAGTAGCTTGCTGCCGTCCGTGGACACAATCCTCCTTCTGCGGAACCACTCCACGATCCACTTCACTACGGCGGCAACAATGTACACCACCACCCAACACGAAACTCAGACCATCGTGCCACGCGATTCCTACCGGGACAAAGAACAAAAAAAAAAAAGGAAGGGAAAACACAAGTCATTCAAATGGAAGACAGTCCCAAAAAAGCATTTAATAATAATAATAATAATAAATTTGCCCCTCGCACGCGATTTTAAAAAAGCCTGATTTCATCCCAAATCCTTCCTACCCCAAAAAAAAAAAAGTTCAACGTGACTTCAGCAGAAAAAACGGAAAAACAAAAAAAAATGAAAAATAAACATAAAATGGTCCCTCACACACGCCGTGCATCAAAATTCCAGCTGCCACATCCTTAGGTTCCAATGACAGCCATCATACAAGCAAAACATGCACGGCGGGTGACGCCTCCTACACTACAAGCAGTCCACTACTCTGGTTTAGTCGCTCTTCGCCGCGTCCCCGTCGCCGCGACGGTTCGGTGGCCGTCAGCTCCCAGTAGAACATTCCTCCTTTGGCTTTTCTGCGCGCGGTGAGAGTAGCTTGCTGCCGTCCGTAGACACAATCCTCCTCCTGCGGAACCACTCCATGACCCAGTTCTTCGCTGAGACCAGAAACGCGCAAAGATATCACTTCATCCTTGTCTGCAAATCCTATCACACAAATACAAAACAAAACAAAAAAAGTAGAGAAAAGAATAAAAAATTTTTGATAAAAATAAACAACGAGGAAAGCACGCGGAAGTTCCGCCTTGCAGCATTGAATTGTACGTTTCTCTTTTCCTGTTTTCCGCCCTCGCTGATTTCTTCTCTCACCTTCGCTCGCGTTCCTCAACTAAAGTTCATGGTACACGAAATTCTCATCGACGCTGACCAAGCCTTGCAAAGAAGTGCAGCTGTGACCGAATTGAAATTGGTCCATGCGAGTTCCCCCTGCCCATTCCCGCTTGATTGCTGCCAAATCGCTGTCCGGTACAATTTCCATAACATCTCTCCCCTCGCTCACGTTGGCGTCATCGTCTGGCGGAAACCCGTCGTGTCCTGACGACGCTTGCTTCAACCCCTGACTGTGGTACTCCAATTCCCAGTTGGAAACAACCCGAGACAACAGATCCAGCTGGTACTCGATTTTTCGGGCGTCCACAGAGCCTTGTGGTACCGTCAAAGACTCACACTGCAGTTTCTTCTCCCTCAAGGCGCTGCGTAGTTTCTCTTGCTTCAAGCTTACAGCATCGCCCGCCTCTGCGGCAACCGCGACGTCATCGGTCTCATCATTCGAAAGCTCGTCCGGCTGAAATTCAATAATGCGGCATGTGTATCCCTGATCCACGAGAAACGCTGTGCGATGTGCCGCGTACGCCATTTCCAGAGTGTCTGTGCTAATGATGGTGTAAAACCACGCGTCAACCATTTTGCCATTACTGGCTCTCGCCTTGGGGCGCAAAATCCTCCCGAGGCGCTGTGCTTCTTGCCGTCGGCTTCCGCCATGACTAGAGACCTGTATCACCACGTTGGCGCTGGGGAGATTCACACTGACGTCCCCAACACGCGACAAACAAATGACATTCAGCTTCGAGGTGCTCTGAAAATCGGAAAAAATCATCAGTCGTTCACGATGGGGTGTTTGGCCACATATGACAGGTGCGTGAAGCAGAGTCCCGTACTCCCTAAGAAGAAGAAGGTGATCGCAAAAAACAAGGATCTTTGAGGAGTCCGCAACGTGCCTTCGAACAAGCTCAAGAACACAGAGCATTTTGTTGGGGTTCGCGGCAGCCAGCATGACAAGAAGTGGCATTTTACGCTGCTGCAGTGTGTGGTCCTCCCCACTGCGCTGCATATATTCAAGACTGAATTGTCTTGTAAGTGGTGTCAACACCTCGATACATGTCACATTGGCCAGATAGCCACTTGACGCTAGCGTCTCCCAAGAAACATCGTAGAGTTTCGGTCCGACCAAATGAAACAAATCCTGGATTTTTGCATCTTCACGGACATATGTGGCCGTTAGTCCCACCACGCCCTTGGCATCGACGAGGCTTAAACTTTCCTTATATGCCTCTGCCGGCATGACATGAACCTCATCCATAATGAGAAGACCATAGGGCTGGAAGAGTTTCTCCTTTGGATTGGCTCGTCTTCTCTTCTGGTGTCGATCATCCGCCAAACCACTTGCATGTGCCGCGCGCTGTCGCATCTGCGCTCTGTGCGCCGTTACAAGCATACTGTAAGTCGTGAGAACGATATCCGTTTCCTCCGTAACTGGGTCTTTTTGTTTTCCGGTCAAACAGGCAATACGTGCGGCGCCCTCCAACCTAGACCTGTGCTTTTCAGCGGCGGCCATTTCATCGTCCGTGTCATGGGCGCAGATGCTGGCAAACTCCAAGATTTGATTTTTCCACTGCTCAACGCTCACACTCCCCGCGCAGAGGATTAGGGTCGGCTTCTTCACCTTGCACAGAAGCATTATCCCCACAAGTGTCTTGCCCGCACCACATGGAAGAACAATACAGCCACTTCGGAGAGAACCCTCCGTCGCCGCGGCGTTGACAGCATCAATTTGATATGGCCGCGGTTTTGTCTGCGTCTTCAGCATGACATTGATGTTACGAACACCCGAATCCCTTTCATAGTCATACTGCTGTTGAAGGGGAAATCCGAGTAAAACGCAGCGCTCCGCCACACGTCTTGCGACGGCCCGGCTCCTCAGCACAAGAAGCGAATGGGGAACGACAGGAACGATTTGGGGCGGTTCGGCGCATAGTGACCGCACAACAGGATCGAGCAAAAGCGTCTCCGCTGTTTCAACATTGTCGCACTCCACAAATGTCCGTGCGTCTTCAATCACTATGCGAGCCAAATTGTACCGGCTCATGCACATCTCCAGAAAGGCGCAAACACGAGCACGACGTGAGTTCTCCCCCTCGTCGCAAAAGCCATAGACATACTCATCCAAAAAGCAAATAACATCCGACACAGGTATGCTGGCGGAGACGGCTGCCCCCAAGGAGAAGGGTGTCATGCGGTACTCATGCATCAACGAGGGACGCGATGTCGGCTCCGCAATCGTCGTCAAAAAAAATTGAATTCTTTGAAAAGAGGAACGAAACGTCTCAGCAAGAAGCACCACGTACCCCTCAGCAGAGACACGCTCTTCCAAGAACAGGCACTGCATCCTTCAACCCCAAAGTCTCCCGTTCGTCCAGACGGCAAGACAAGGCATATAAGTGAATAGAATGCGTCGCTGATAGAATAACGGCCAAAGTGTGAAGAAAGAAGCAAAAAAAAGAAAAAGAAAAAGAAAAAAAAAAAGATGCCTACATTGTCACTGTGCAAGAAAACCCCATAAAAATTATTATCACATTGGACGCAGTGACATCGTTTATTGTTTCGGTTGTTTTTTTTTTTCAAATAATAAAGTAAAAAAAAAAACGAAATAAAAGAGACGTGCCAAACTCAACTTACTCCTCCGGATGCCATGCGCCCTTAACGGCCCTGCTACCGCGAATACGTCCGGTGCGGCGGGCGGCGATCAGGCCGACCTTCTGGCCTGGCGGTGCGTGACGTGAGACGGTCGACGGGTGGCCAATGTGCTGATGGTTACCACCACCGTGCGGGTGCTCCACTGGGTTGCGGGCAACACCACGCACCTTGGGCCAGCAGTTACGCTTTCCACGGAAGCGGTAAAAGGAGTTACCGGCCTTCAGCACCGGCTTCTCAATACGGCCACCGCCAGCAATGATACCAATCATGGCGCGGCAGTTACTGGGAACGGTCTTCTTCTGCCCGCTTGGCAGCTTCAGGCGTGTGCGGCCCGTCTCGTGGTTGTGCGAGATGATGATGCAGTAGTCGCCCGAGGCACGTGCAATGGTGCCGCGGTCGCCGACCTTCGCCTCCACGTTGCAGACGATGCAGCCCTCCGTGATTTGGCCAAGAGGCAGCACATTGCCAATTGCGAGTGGTGCCTTCACGCCGCAGAGGACGGACTGTCCAGTGAACATGCCCTCCGGCGCCACCATCAGCTCCTTCACGCGGCGGTACTTGTACGGATGCCGGAATTCCACGCGGGCGAGCGGGGCACCACGGCCGGGCTCATGCTCAATCGTCTTGACCACACCACGCATAAAACCATGACGCTCGGCGTAGTCAAGAATGCGGAGCTTCGCGGGGCCGAGACGCTTGTGGCCGTGCAGCTGGTAGACGGACCCGTTGCCCTTACGGCAGGTGAGCACGGTCTTTCCCATGTTTTCTTGGTTTTGGTGGAGTAGCACGCTAAAATAAATTTAAAAAAAAACACAAAATAAAAAAGTCAAAAAAAAAAAGAAAAAAAAACGCAAGGCGGCAAAAATGTCCACAAAACAACAATAAGATGCTCAAAACAAAGCATGTATTTTTTTTTCCTTCAGTATACTCTTTGCTCCAAGTCAAAATTACCGCAAGGACCGTATATATATATATATATATGATGGATAGATAGATATATATATAGAGAGAGAAGGAGAAAGAGAGAAAGAAAGAGAAATAAAGAAAGACCTCTCCCCGTGGATACGTCAGCCGCCTGCGGTGGTGTTACGTGAGGAAAAGAAGAGAAGAAGCAAATACACCAGTCCTAGTAACCAACAACAATCAATCAATCAATGGTCATACTTATTAAATAATTTCCTCGACGGGCTTTTATTTACCCACCAACACGTTTTTTTTGCATTGAGCCGCTCTGTCCCTTAAAAAAGCAAAGAACCACATGTATATATTGGTATGATGACTGGGTTCGTTTTCGGTGCGCCTCCTCTTCTGATTTTTTTTTGTTTTATTATCTCTTTTTTTTCCCCCGTTCAATATCCCCCTTCCTCCCGCTTTTATTCAGTCAAGAAGAAAAAGTGTCCTCCAAGTTGAGATGCACAGCCGTACCACTCGCTGGTCGACCAGGCAAGAGACTAATGAGAGGGAAAGTCAGACCATCGTTTGCACTCGCCATGTCCCTCTCAAAGAGGGCTAAACTATCGAGCGAAGAGATATAAAATCCCAGTGTCATTGAGGTATCATAGCTCGTTGTGGGCAGCACCCTCCTCGCACACGTCAATTCCCCCGGACTACCAGACGATGTGAAGGCGGGCTGAACACAATGCGGGTCCAGGAAGAACACATCATCGTCCTGGTGACCAAAGAGGAATAACGCGGAGCGAGATTTACCTCCAAGAATGCCTATCGAGCTTTCCATTTCAAGGCAGCGCTTCATGAGCTGCGAGTACTTCTCTGAGATGACACGAATTCCAAGCATCACCGGAATGAGCAACACGACATGCGTTGACTGCCGCAGCAGTTCCTTCACCTCCTCCAAAAAAATTTGTCGCTCAGGAAAAGCCAATACCACTGGGCCCTCACCCCCCGCAGCCAAGTAGGACGCCATCAGCGCACTCAGCGTTTTCGCTATCGGCGTTGGCCCAAACCACTCACCGCAGTTAACACCATGTTTCGTTCCTTCGGATGTTACGGCATGGATGCCAAAAGGCGCCGACGGCACGTCGCAAAAAAGAGTTTGTGTCCTTGCCCGCAACTCCTGAAGCCTTTCACTGCCTATGTGTGGTCCACCGCCATTAAAGTAGCGCATAAAGGCATGAGCAAGCATCATTTGCCCTGTCCGGATCATGCATCCCCAGAAGAGATCTGTCGTCGCCCCGTTCATAAGCGGTACAATACGGTTACGGTACGAAAAGTACAGCAGTGCCTCTGTTGCCTTGTCGGCCCATTTCATTGTCTCCGCCCCATTGTACATGCCTGACCCAATGATATACGTCTCTACGCCGTCTGCTAGCAATAATTTGTGTGCCCGGAGGCGAAACATACAATTATACACAGCCTTAATCGCGTCAGCTGAGTCGCAGAACGGAGCGGCACCCGCCTCGCGATCATCTGCCGCCTCCGTCATTGTACCTTGCATCACGGAGCAAAAGCAAATAAATAAATAAAAAATTAATAATAATAATAATAATAATAATGAGATAAAACAATAAAAGAAATCCAAAAATAAAAATAAAGGAGACGTGGAAACAAAAAAAAAAAGAGGTAAAAAAAAAAACACTCACAGTGATGGAAGTAAGGGATGGACGGTGCATGACACCTAACCCCTTCCCCGCTACACTTCCAAATAGTGAAAAAGAGACAGGGAGAGAGAAAGATTTCTCCCACAAGCGCAACACATTCGTTAGACGGCGGTTTTATTTTAATTGTCTTGCACACCTCATGCCTGCAAAATTGGACATGACGTCACAAACCCCATCGTGTCGCCGGCAAGAAACACCCCAGAGCCGAGGATCGTCCCGCAATTCACCACGGAATGATGACTGGTGGTCTCGCGCACATTACAAGCCTTCTCTAGAGACGGTAGTTCTCCCTCTTCTGTCTCATCCACGGGTGGATCCTGGAGCAGAAGCGGCATCACATCCCACATGGAAACTTCCCCACAGATGGAACATGTCATCAGATGACCGTCATGCGTCCACAACACCACAGACAAGCCGTTGGATGCATGACCAGGTGCTGCAAAAACCTCAACAACGGAGTTATCGTCCGCATCCACGGTAGCAATGGAGTAAATGCCGTTTGCCCTGCCCGTGGCAATGTACTCCCCTAAAAAATGACAGGTTGTGGGCAAAGGTGGATTCACAAATTGCCCCCTCGCGGTCGCCAAGTCATCCATCAGACAAAATTCAACTGGTGGGTCAATGGGATCCATGTAAAATGCTCCCCTGCCATCCATTCCAAGGGCACACACTCCCTGTCTTTGTTTTACCTGCAATAAACCAAGACCACAGCAGTAATTGGACAAGGAACCAAATGACGGCTTTGATAACGTCTTCTCTACTCCAAAATAACGCTCTGAGACACATGTCGTTGGGGCAAACTGAGACAAATCAAAGGGAATAATAGCACCATTCTCATCGGCAATGAGAGTCGTTGAGGCCCCATGCGGGTGGGTGCCGCTAAGGAAAGCGACAACCTCAGAGACATGCTTGAAGGAATGAAGCAAAGTCTGCTGGCGAAGGTCATAAGCCATGACAATATTCTCCGCCAGAACTACGGCCATATGCCTGTCCGATGCGAGCAACAACTCTGTAGCCTCCCCATTGCCTTTTATCGCACCGTCGTCCACGCACATGTAGTCCTTCCGCTTCAGCCGCGTGTCCCATAAAGTAACGGCGCCAGTGTCTTCAAGAGATGCAAAGGCGGTGGGTGCCGAGAACGATGCGGCAAGCGACATGATGCCGCGCCCCCTACGACCCAATACTTCCATCCCGACGCTCCACAAACAAGGCCACAACTTCTAAAATCGATTGCGTGAGTTTTTATGTAAATGCATGGATTTGCGCACAAAAAGAGGCATAAATAAGAAGGGAGCAAGTAAGAGAAATGTTGTTAATCCAAAAAAAAAAAAAAAAGACATGCCTGAAGCCGCTTTACGGACTTTACGTTTTATTATTTATTTCTTTATTTTCGTTTGTTTTTGTTTTTTTTTTTTTTGCTTGGCTACACAACACTTCATTCAACGGAATGGTAAAAGACTGCCACGGTGTCAGCACACGGCAACCCATATGGAGGAAAGAAGTCCATCGCAATTGGGCGGAGCGGAACCAAAAAAAAAAAAAGAGGGCCAACGGCGGCGGCGGCGGTGGCGGCGGCGGCGATAAAAACAAAGAGGCAAATAAAAAAAAAATAAAAAAGTAAAAAATAGTCGGAGAAAACCAAAAAAAGAAAGTGGGTGTGGGTGAAGGTTGGAATACATAACAGTGCATTTAAAGGATACATCTACGCACACAGATGGAATGAAATACATGCAACACCCTCCACTGCACTTTCCCCCACCCACGCACCCACACAAAGTCCGCATCGAAGTTTCGCTGGTGTAGCGCCATATACCGCAATCCCCACCGCCCCGGTCCCCACAGTCTCGCTCGCCACAAGAGAGAAATGTCCACAAAAGCAAATAAAAATAAAAATAAAAACCCAATTGAGATGGAAGCACAGAGACAATATATTTTTATACATGTGGAGAGAAAAAGAGAGAGAAAAAAAAAGAGGGTTCATTATTAAAGGAAACACACACAACAACAAAATATATATATATATATATGTATATTAAATACATATTCACAAAAGACAAGGTGGATGTTGTGCCCAACAAAAAAAAAAACTATTTGCTCTCATTTGATCCCACTGCCCTCCTAATAATTCACCACATGGGCCTTCCTTATGCCTCACCTCAACCCTCTGAAAACCAGTCGCCCATGCATGTGTAAGTTGGCACACCCACATGTATATTCACACATATTTGTATTTATATATGAAAAATGAAACGATAATAACAAAAATAGGAAAAAAATAAATAAAAAAAAGACAATCCCATAAGTCTTCAACGACGTAATTTTTCCCATCCTTTTCTTTTTTTTTTGGTTTTTGGTTTTTCTGTATTTGACAAAACGGCTTGTGGTTTCCTTCTTTTTTTTTTTTTTATTTGTTGTTTTGTTTTTCTCAGCCCTCTCTCTTCTCTTTTTCCCTCGTGTTCTCTTCCGTCTAATTATACAGGCAGTCACTTACGACCGCAACAATGCACAACCGTGCCGTGACGTAAAATACACACGAAAAAAAAAAAAAAAACAGTCGATGACGCGAGAGAGAAGAGTTATTTCCGTCGTCATGAAACGGGAGGAAACACCAGTCGGACGGCCTCGTCAACATTTCCGCTTGTCTGGCGGAGTACTCGCTTCGCGGCACCTTTTGGCACGCCGAGCTTGACAAGCCGCTGCACCTCCGGGTCGAGGGAGGTCCACCTGCCTTTGCTGCCATGAGGGGGCTCCTCGTGCAAATGTTTTTCAACACCGCCATGGAGGAGACGCTCGGCTGCCTTTTGCACGTCGCCGTTGTAGTGCGTCAACGTGAGCTCCGCGTGGCTGCGGGGAAATCCCATTCGCACAAGTTTCTCCACCTTCGTGGCAAAGTCGGATTGCGTCATAACACGGCGCTTCACCTCACCGACAACTTTTTCCAGCTGCGCTGTGCCAATGCTGCTCTGCAGCCTCTCCAGCTTCACGCGGGCGGACTGTTCCTTTAGTATCGTGCGCGTCACGGCGGCAACCTCGGCGTCCGTCATGCCAAATTGTTTCATTTGGGCCTGATCGCACTGCGAGAGCCCCGCCATGGTAGCAACGCCGCCCTCCACAAGGGCCTGCACCACCGACGGCCGCACCTCCGACTCGCTCATGACACGCATAAACGTGGACGGCAGTGAGCCGTCAACACGCTGCTGCTGCATCTCCGTCAAAGTAGCCAGAGATTCCTCACGTTTCGGCAGAATCGCAACAATGTCGATAAGCGTCGATACATCAACGCTTGAAAACAGCGTGGCAAGCTCCTCCACCCACTCCATTTGCTCCAAACTGAAACCTCTCGCGTTGATCTCCGCAATTAATCGCTCACGCTCCTCCTTTGCCTTGCGCAGCTCCTCCTTTCGCCGCTCCTCCGCAAGACGCTTTTGTTCCCGATTGGTGTAAACCCATCGCAACAGAAAAGGCACGCAGCGACGCAAAAGCCACGCTTTACGTCTTAACAACAGCCGTTCAACCGAGGACCAAACCTCCGCACGGACAAAGACCTTTGTGTGTCCAACCGCGTAGTGCGGCTTCTGCCATCCGTAAAGTTTCTGGTAGTAGGCGAGGAAGTCCTTTGCGGCGGCCTTCAATTTGTTCTGCTTGAATAGCCTTATTGCCGATCGCGGCATAATAAGGAAAAAATAACGGCAAAACTGCTCAATCGTACGACGCATGGGATATCCCTGTCGTTTCAAGGCAATTGTCTGCAGCACACCTGCCGACTCCAACTGATTGCCGACAAGACAGTTGTCAAGCGTGTCGGGGCTGGCCTCCATATTGGGCTTGATGCATCGAATGAATTGTGTCTCGGTTGATTCAAGCTCCTCCCGTAGAGCGGCCAACTGCTCCTGGAAGCGGAGCGCCACCGTCTGCTTGCGCTTATCTAACAAGGAATCCTTCGGCGTCAGGGTTCGGATAAATGGATCCCCGGAGTTGAGGATGCACTGATACGCCTCTTCCTTCACTCTATCCGTGTTCTTCTCCAGCCACTCATCGGTGTTATAGTTCACAAATGCCGCGTAGTGATTGACACCAAACTGGTTCGGTACTGTACTCTTGGGCAGCACAAAGTATTTGCTTTTATTTGCCCACTGATCCCAAAGATTATGGGTGAAGCGCTCCACCGTGCCACCCTTGAAGTGGCACTCCTCGTCAAGCATGGAGAATACGCCAATCTTTTTTTGGTCAAGCATTTGTACACATTCCGAGTTGTCGGGAAAAACAATTTTGGGGACCTCAATGCCTTCAGCTTCGCACTCCGCCTCGTCATTAAGAAAGGTGTATTTGTTGTAGTGGTTTTGTAGGGCTTCGTTGGCGTAGTTGATGCATAGTTGCTCAAAACTGTTACGTGTAAACTTCTCAAAGCCAAAAATGTCAAGAAGCCCAATGTACTTGCAGCGGCTAACTTCGCCATGCGCATCAATGGATTGATTCACAAAATCCACAAGGCGGTCAAAGAGGCCAACGTAAATGGCCTTACAAAACGCCCCGCAAAATCCCTCCGCCTCCGTCTTGTTGGCGTAAATAGTCACGAGACTCGTGTGGCTCTTCACAAGAAAACATTCCCGCAGTAAGGCGGGGTCCAGCTGCAGGAGAGAGCAGGCGGTAAGAAAGGGTGCTTCGTCTTCAAAGCATGCCATGTCGTTTTGGTCGGATTTGAAGCGCAGCTCCAACAAGTGGAGAATACTCGCCAACACCTTGAAAATGCTCCTCTGCACATCAGCCTCAACATCAAGGGCGGTGAGGGCATGAAGCACATTTTGAAACTCCAACGAATCATCCAGGGTTTTGCCATCGACACCACGTCGAACAAAAGTGTTTCCACCGCTTAGGCACTTGTATTCCTGGGCGGACTTGAGGTCACCGAGCTCCTTCTTCTCCTCCGGCGAAAGCCCCGCAAGCATTTCGTAAAAGATGTGATAATTGCGCTCCCCCACAGACTGTAGTAGGAGCCGACTCTTCTCCAGCAGGTATGTCACAGTCTGGCCGCCAACCATGACTCCGGAGCTCGGATCAAAATAAAGTTTGATGTACTTGCCGAATCGTGACGAGTTGTCATTACGCACCGTGCGAGCATTTCCAAAGGACTCCAGTAGTGGGTTACTCCACTTCAGGCAATTCGCCACTTTGTCTGCAACGCTCTTCTGCATGGCGTTGCTGCTGTGCATGTGGCTCAGCTCCCCAAGGTAGTAGATCAGCATTTTGGTGTTCTCCGTCTTCCCGCTTCCTGATTCACCGGAGATGACAACCGACTGATTGTCAAAGCCGCGTATAACAATCTGCGAGTAGGCTCTGTGCGCCACCTGCCAAATGTGCGGCGGCAGAAGGTGGTTTTGCGCGGAGTTAAGGTACTTCTCCCGGTGAGCATCGCTGTTGAACGGCATGAGTCGGAACGGGTTGACGCTGATAAGCATCTCCCCCATGAGGGAGTACTGTTGCTTCAACTGCACAAAACGCTCCTTAATGCAGTAAAGGGTTGTCGCCACATGAAGGTCGCTTAGGTGAAACAAGTCGGGGTCGCTCGGGTCAAAGGCCTGATCCATGTATCCGTGAATCTGCGACAGTGGAACCGTTTCCTTGTTGCCGGTTGTTGCATTCACCACATGCGCCTTCTTCTCACCATCGAGCACAGTAGCGACAACGCCTCGCAGCCATCCCTTCTGCGGCAGATAATAATACACCTGCTGCTGCACCGCAACCCGCTCAATTGCCGGTTCATTCATTTTTCTTTTCTTCTGTTATTGTGACGTGAGTTTATCCCGATCTTTTCTTTGTTATTCTTTTTTTTTGTTTGTTTGTTTGTTTCTTTTTGTGTGTGTGATCCTCTTTTCACCTCTTTCACTTCTTCGCCGCCGCTTCTAATGTCCGTCAGTTTCCGTGCACACAATTATGTTTTTCCTCCCGCTAATTCCTTCTGCTTCTACACCGCCACTCTGTTTTTTTTTCTTTTTTTTTTTTGAAGTTCTTTACACTCTCTGTTTTCCGTGTATGATGCTGCCCGATGCAATCACCCAGGCACTCGCTGACTGCACACAACAATAGCCCTGAGGAAGACAACACACACATACACACACCAAGCGAGGGAAAGAAAAGGCAAAAAAAAAAAAAAAAAAAAAAAAAAAAAATTTTTTAGGCGCAAAACCACGGAAGAAAACGTGACTTGAGGGGTTCAGAGACGCAAGAATTAAAATCACCGGGCAAGAAAGGGGGTAGCGGAAGCTTTAAGACACAACTCTGTATGCATTGCAGCGCACCTCAGCACGTTCTTTTGTGTCTTCGCCTTTCTTTTCTCGCTCATTTATTTTTCCTCTTATTTCTGTCGCTCCTTGTCATTCCCGCTGGTCTTTTCTCTTTCAACTCCAAAGGGGCACCGTCACTTCGTCGTGGCCGCCTTTATTTGCAGCCCCTTGCAGTACGCCACATCCGCCTCCTTGTCCTGCGCGTAGCGGGTTCGCATCGACTCCAGCCACTTGCTGAGCGCCAGCTGCTGCTGCTTTAACACGAGTGCGTCCCTCTGCTTGCTCAGACGCAACGAGGTGGGCGACGCACACAACAGCCGCGCGTGGCGTGTACGAACCCCCGCAAGCGAGTCCTCCGTCGGCAGAGGGAACGGGATGCTGTAGGCAAACCGCTTCTCTAACAGTGTTGTCTCCGTCACCTCCGGCATTTGCCGCTGTTGGTGGAACGCCTCCTCGTCGTGCCTAATTGCCAGCTCGTCGCTCCTCTCGGCGATCGTGTCACGCACTTGCTGCTCAAACTTCTCCAAAGCGGCAGCGTCCAGGCTGTTCTCAGCCTCCAGCAACTCGTCTGCGGCGGTAAAAACAAATGGCACCAAAACCACCACCGTGTCCCCCGCGCCACCATTGACCGTCGCAACGTGTTGCACGGCCGAAAAGCGGCCACGAGCCCCTCTTCTCTGCCGCCCGGATCGCACAGTGACTATTCGAACACGTCGCCGCAACACCGCACACGG